TCCTGCGATAGATTTGATTCTGCACTCATCGTTGATATGATACCTCAGGCTTGTTTGACGTTGCTGATATTATTGTGAATGATGGTGGTGCTGCATTAACAAAGATTAGTTCCAGCAATAAAAGTGTTTGATTTTGCGACATTACTATTTAAAATTAGGGATCTAAATCCCTGTATTTGTTGGAGTCGGCGGCGTCTACCACCCTAACTTTGTCTGGGGTGGTGGTACGGATCCATTAGCTTCATAGCAAACCTTAATAATTTCTGCGAATTCATGATCTAATATTATTATATCGTTGGGACCTGATATCAGCAATGATAATTTGGCATGTGCTTGTGTTGCCGCTGATAGCAACATTGTATATTCGTGACATATATCAACCACACACGTATATATTTTTACTCAATGATATTAAGAACGTCAGTAACACCGGTTATAACTGCAACACCAATTTAAATTACTGGTGCTAATATGTAAGTGGCTGAAAATGCTCCGATTATAGTTAACTGTTACATCGACTACGGCGGATAAAGAATACACAATTATATTCAATATATTCAACGACATATTGTCTAAATAAATTCAATTGTTTCAGCGAAACGTAATAGATCGGTTACAGCGTTGAAAAATCTAATTGAGATATTTGTAGACCAATATCAACATTTTAATCATGTCCCATGAATGTCATCAAACGATGATATGCATGTGCAACATGATTATTCTCAAAATTTAATAACACTTCTTTAGATTGTTCTTGGTGTCCATTTATTCTCAATGAAACTTCAGTAACAAAATTTGTCAAATATCATTGTGCTGCGTTCTTGTGAGTTTACACTAGCATCATTTTTTAAAGCAATGAATATACGTTGCTGTCCAGAGACACCTTGCTGAGATGATATCAGCCATGTGAATAAACATGTAAAGGTACTATCTGTGTACATCGTCAACCATGACAATGTTGATTTACCACCTGAGTTCATAAAGAGTGCATCCGTTGTTCTTCGGTCAATGACGGCATCATTGTTTGCATCCACAATAAAAGTTTTGTCGGTGTTACTTTTTCTGCATTACGAATAATGCAATATATTGCATCATCGTCGGTAGCCTTTCTTATAAGTAAAACCATATGTTTGGCTCAAAACATAACCTTTCTGACATTTCTGCAAGATCCAAAGATATGTGACAGTGAAATTACATATGAAAATCTTCTACTTCCATGTTTCAGCATTGAAGGACGTGCTGCAAATCCTAAGTTGAATTCTGGATTAGCACCATGAACCCCGGTCACACGACAACGTCAGCGGTGTCGGTGAAGTTTCTTGCTGGTCTTATATTATATTGTCTTTTGTCAGGGTGGTCAGAAGTATCCTTCACAGACATCATTGACGGAACAGCTGATCTTGAATAATCATCGGAATATCTTGCTAGAACCAATATAATCGTGGCAATGTCTACGTTTTCCAGACATGATTCAATGTTTCTTTTGTCACTGCTATACGTGGCAATGTTTAACACCATTGTGCCATTACTGAAAAAATGTCATTATCGAAAAAACAACTCTAACATTAGCTTCATACTCAGTTTTTCTGTATCTAGAATTTCACCTTCTACTTAAATGCTTCTGCGGCTCAGAAATATCTGCTTGTATCCTGAAGTTGTAACTCAGTTCTTCCACGCTGTTTGTGCTCTATGGTATCATACAAATAATATTGTTAATCACGTATTCATCCATCTTTGAAGACTGGAGAATCCATGTCAAATGCGGTATCAGATACACGCTTGAATATTATCATACTTGTCATCGTCCAACACGAAGATCAAGTCCTGCTATTAGACTAAAAGTTATGCTTTTCTTTTTCTGATCCTACCAGTGACAGGAGTGCAATAGTCAAGTCTGCTAGTCTTCAATTTGCTGCCTGATTTATTACTTCGCAACCATTTGCAGTGATAACTTCGGTGCTGTGTAATTTTACTGGCTGAGATCGGATAGCTGGCAGTCAGCGTATTAGTCATGCTAGTCTATCCTTGATTGCTGAGAATGCTTTACTAGCAACATCACCAACAGCTCCAATACCTTTATCACGAACAATGTCAATAGCTTTCATTCCCAGTTTGCCTTGCAGTCAGTATTACTTTTGGGGCTACCCTTATGAATAGACCCTGAATAACATAACCATGTCCATCTCCGTAAGTCGCTTTAAACGTTGATAATCGTGAATTTATCATGACCATTACAGGTCTACGTTGAGCATTATGTATGATCGAATTATTTTCTTGTCACTGATCTAATTGCATACCCTCAATCACTGCGAAAATCATCAACGATTTCATCAATGAGGGACCGTTAAACATTAATGTCCATGATACCGCCTTTAAATAATCTCTGACAAATAAAAGCTGCTTCATTAATGATTTCTGGAGAATTATTACCGGCTCGTATTCTGCCCATAAGAATTTCTAATCTAACAATATCGGCAAGGACATTATTTGGACAAAGTTTGTCAAGACCACTTCCCATGGTACCTGAACCATGAGTGACCTAATCGCTATCGCTGGACAGACAACCAGACAACTTCCAATGGCACCGGGGTCAGGATTTGTATCGTACCATTTTTCTTTTTGCTCAGTTGTTCTTTCGTCTGCTTTTTCCTTATTTTGTTGTTAAGTTTGATTTCCTTTATGTCTTTGATTCGTTAAAGTTGCAACTTCATTTCTTCTTCATTTTGTTTCCTTTCTTGTTTTACTTGTTCAATATATTCAGTTACTGCCTGGTTAAAAATGTTAAACTGATTAACATCTCCATCAGATCAGATCAGATCTGCGGAGTATTAGTAGAAACGCGATATACATCCCTAACCCAATCGGCAGATTATAGTTTTAATATATTTTGGTTTTACATACCTATCTCGATCACTATATCCAAATGCGGCAATATTAATTAATTAATCTTGGTTGTTGATATCAGCACTACCTTCCGACGTAAATTTATCTATAATGTTAGTTCTAACTTTTGGTGGAGGCCATGATTGATATTCATGTTGTGATTGAGGATGTTGCCGGAGGCGAGTCTAGTTGCTTGAAAACGGCTAACGATATTAACAGGCAATGTCTCAGAAGCTTTTTGAGCTACCTCAAATGCTGTAACAATTGTCTTGGTTTGACAATGGGTTTAAATAACTGTTCTACACCTTCTTTAAATTCCAGCTGAGACTCCTGACGTGCTTGTTGTTGTTGCTTGACAGAATCACAGACGGTGATATATTTCTTAATTGCTTCTATTCGCTGTCAAACTAGTTTTGATGTACGAGATTCCATGTTTAGCATTATTAATAAAGTATGATTGATTTAATTATGCTACTTGACCGCATCGACGACCAACAGGTGTTTTACACCAGGGGTATGGAAATAGATTTGACATGCAAGCATTAATAAGAGGCCTCGGTTTAGTGCAACCCGGTTAGAGGTCTAGGTTTAGCGTTATTGACCCTTATATTTTCATTTTCGTAGGAAGCTTTATTTCTAAAAATAAACCCTCCTAAACATGGTATGTTACCCTCCTTTCTGTTAGTTTTGGAGCTTTCAAACTGGCGATTTATGTTCACTTGCAGAAGCACGCACAAAGTGCCTGAGTGGTGGTCATGTTTATCACATTTTTTCTGGCAATTGTATTGACTGTGTCTAGATTACTTATAATGCATTTTTTCAGTATGATTTCGATGTTTAGGAATTGAAACATGGAACTGTCCACTTTACAAAAGTTATCTTCAGATGACGATTCATGTGAATGTGTAAAACTAAATTCTTCTTGCTATTAGTTATATGTAGTAAGTTGAATATTTGTGAATTTATTCGATATCTGTAAAATATAAGACCTAAGTCACATACCTCATTGTTTCCGGATATATATACTTTTCCGGTTATATAGCTTAAAGCTAAATGGATTAATTTAAATATATGGTGTACACATTAGGCAATAAAAAACGTTCTAGTTTTGTTTGTTTGTTTGTTGTTTTTGGGGGAGTTTGGGGGTTTGTTTTGTTTTTGTTTTTTGTATAGTGCGACTGTTAATGTCGAAGATTCTTGTAAAAACGTAGCTATTATATTAATAATCACGTCAAGTCGTTTATATGAAAAGGAGCATAAAGTGTAACGACGTCATTTCATGTGCACGTATCGCATATTCCTGTATTCGTACTTAAGCATATTTTAGGTATATCTCAATGGTTATACTGTTTTGTGTGTGCTGCTTTTTTATTTTTTTCTTTTGGGTATTGTTTTTTTTTTTTCATTTTAGCTGTTCCAAGGAGTCATTGAGATTCGTTTGGTTGTTTAACCTGGATACAATAGTTAATTGTGATTTTGTTGGACGGATAATATTAGTAAACTCACTGTCATGGGCCGTTGGTTCTGGACCAGCTGGTTTGTGGGATAGGAAATGTTCACGAAGGACCATTTAGCAGGCCGTGGGGAATCAATTATACTTTATCATTCCTCATTCATCGCGAACAGCAGAAGGGAAAATTTAGGTTTCCCGTCCGGATGACATCAGACAAAATCATCTTATTTGTTCATGAACTAGCATTTTTCAATTTAAGTTCAGTCTCGTTAAAGATATGTTAATCTAATAACCTACTCTCTACTGCACTATTTTGAAAACATCGTAGTCGAACTTCATAATGTGTCCACGAGGTCCATTGTCACAGTGTTGTTCCTTCTAACTTGCTTCAGCCGTAGCAGAAAATCCTTAAATGTGATGTGATGTGATGTGACTATGATTTTTAACGTAGCTTTGACAATTTTTCAGTCATATCACTACTACGTATGCAGTGTGGCAGTTTATAGTGATGTCTAGCACTGAGGAATCATGCCGCAGACATGTAGCATAATGTCCCACCCAGTCACATTATCCTAACACCAGGCCGACGAGTCCTAACACTAACCTCTTAAATCTGAGTGTCGAGCGAGGCAGCTGTTAGTATCATTTTTCTGTAAGTATTTAATACGAATCTGCCGGGGATCGAACCCACGACTTATTGCATCCGAGGCGGACGCTCTAACCACTAGACCACAGGAGTGGTAATCTTGAAGCTGGCATCATTATATTTTACCTGAACGTCAAGGAAGGAACGATAGGCTTGCAATGAACAAACATCAGCACGCAAATACAAACAAAAGTATTTGGTATGACTCGACCGGGGATAGAACCCACGACCTCCCGCATATGAGGCGGACTCTAACAACTAGGCCACCGGAGCGTTTAATTCCTTAAATAAAAGTCAAATATACAATAAGTTTAGCTACATAATCAGATATTAACTCATCGAAAATACCACGAAGAATGTTACTATCGATTGCAGAAAATCGAATCTTCTTATTATAGTATATTTTATACAGCAAATTAATGATACCTTGGCAATAATGTTTACAAAACTCTTTGCAGTATTTTAATTGTGCGATATTGTATCCCATATTTACTTACGACAAAATAAATGAATAAACTTCAGCCAAAAAGTGTATTGTGCTCTCTGATAATTCGAATATGCGTCAACAATCCGAAATGACATATAGCAAATGTGTTATATTTGAAATCATACGTCACTAATGAGTTGATCACAATAAGTGCTTTTACAACAACGAACCTGATTCTCGGTATAAAAAGCAGACTAGAAAATGTTATTCGCCTTACGAAACAGAATGAAAAGTAAAGCAAATCGAAAAAGCAGACATTAAGTCTACAGAAAAAAATGTCACTATAAGGAAACCTATTTAATACGCCCATTATGAAACAAAATGAAAAGTGAAGCAGATATTAAAACCAGACATGAAGTCGAAGAAAAATTGGATAGTCTGTTTAATATACTCCTTGTCAAACATAATGAAAAGTAAAGCAATTAGTAAAGCAGACATTGAATCGAAGAAAAATCGCAACATAGTATATAGTCTATTCAATATTGGATGGCGCTTGTTCTTCGAAATATGGTGACTATTACTTTAATAGGCATATTATTTGCAAGAGTATGCGACACAGTCTGTCGAGCTGAATTAGTAGTTGCGTCATTTCCATATTGTACAGCAGCGGGTATCAAGATTTCAGAATGGAGCGGGTCACTAAATATAATGAAAAATAAAACTAAAAGAGGGCAAGAAAATGTAGCAGATAAAATAGTTTGTGATCTTTTTATTAACTTTGAGAAACTAAAGGACAAGAAAATCTAGTACGATTTAAATATAATAGACCAATATATGTCGTGGAAAGAAAAATGTAGTACGCAGAAAAAGCAGTAAATTAAAATGTAATGGACTAATAAATATCATGGAAACAAAAGATGTAGCAGATAAGAAAATGTTGCGAGGTTACAATACAGTGGAAGAATAAATGTATTGGAAACAAAAACAAAATATGTAGAGGGTAAGAAAATTTTGGGAGTTTAAAATCCAGTGGACAATTAAATATACTAGGGAAAAAAATTAGAAAGTAGAAACTGTAACAGCTAAGAAACTGTGGATGGTCTGCACCAGTTACCTCACGATCGTTACATAATCCTGATTGCACTATATGATCAGCTAGCTGAGGGAAACAAAATGCAAGGTACGTTTTGTGTACGCAACTTGCAAAAGTACCTCATGAAATTTAGAACCATTACCAGTCGGGTAGAAACTGTTTCATTGCTGCAACTGGTGCACACCCTATAGTAAATTCAAAATATAGTGGAGGAATAGTTATAGTGGACAAAAGCTACGTTGCGGATAAGAAACTAGCTTATATTTTTTTAATAATATAAAAAGACAATCACTCCCCCTAAAAAAAAAATTAAAAAAATTTTTTAAAAAATGTTGTTTACAAAAGGAAGTGTCGGTTAGTACTGTCACCGTTTCACCAACTTATGAAGGACTATTTACAGTTACCATTTAGCACAATATGAATGACTATCTGGCCATAGAACACAATTAATTTTACTATGTATTCTCTAAATTTCTTTCTCAGTACTGAACTTTCCACTGTGACAATTACTACAAATCATATGTTAATCTAAAATACCTTCAAAGATGACTTCATGGTGAAGTTCTTGTCAATGGTTCACCTGCATTTGTTTTGAGAGGTTGAACTTATACTGGATAGATTTTAAATTCTAAATAACTCTCCCAAATATCCACGTGAAGCAATATATATTTACCTATTTGGTTAAATTTGTAAATTTAATAATTAAATCTATACAAAAAATAAACTAACCAAATTACTAGAGCCTCTGGGATCTTATAGAATAATTATGGACTAAAGGAAACGATACTTAAATTTTTTTAATGAACTTAAAACACCAAGTAAACATGAAATTAAATATCGCCATCCTCAGTTTGACTGGTCGGCCATTTGAAAGAACTGGGCAGGTATAGGATCGGCCTCTGTTCAAAGCAGGCATTTTCTATACTTGTGTGACCAATGACTGACTGGGGAAAGGGCATTTAACAGACATTTGATATTCTATTTACCAAAATGCAGATCATAAGATAAATATAGAGACTACAATAAACATTTAGTAATATACTGTAACAAAACGAAAACAGAGAGACATATAATAAGAAACAAACTTAGCAACAAATATAGCAAATTTCAGATTAATCAGTTATTAAATACAAATAATGTTAACGATAAAGAAATTTACAATGAAGTAGTCGAGTATATCAACATGATTATGAAAAATAAATTGAATATTAATAATTAACCAATAGGACTCTAGTAAAAATCCATTACTTGTTACGATTTTATTATTATTATTATTATTATTATTATTATTATTATTATTATTATTATTATTATTATTATTATTATTTCTTTTCTTCTTTTTTTCTCGTTCTTTTTCCCTCTCACAAATACGGAACAATCCATACAGAGAGAGAAATAGCTAACCTTACGAGGATAACCGTATGATACGAGATCTATGCTACGAGACCAACATGAGGTAGCAAGGTTCGTACTGGATCTCAAAGTAAAAAGGAATTTCATGTAAAGAACATTACGAAAACACAAAAATATAAACACCACACAATATCAATGCATTATCAACTCTCTCTCTCTCTCTCTCTCTCTCTCTCTCTCTCTCTCTCTCTCTCTCTCTCTCTCTCTCTCTCTCTCTCTCTCTCTCTCTCTCTCTCTCTCTCTCTCTCTCTCTCTCTCTCTCTCTCTCTCTCTCTCTCTCTCTCTCTTTCTCTCTCTCTCTCTCTCTCTCTCTCTCTCTCTCTCTCTCTCTCTCTCTCTCTCTCTCTCTCTCTCTCTCTCTCTCTCTCTCTCTCTCTCTCTCTCTCTCTCTCTCTCTCTCTCTCTCTCTCTCTCTCTCTCTCTCTCTCTCTCTCTCTCTCTCTCTCTCTCAGCTCCGTATTATAGCACACACTATATCCTATAGAACTGTTAAAATAAATAACAACTATAAGAATTAGATATCTTAGCCAGTCCTAACAAGTATCCAAATTAACGTACAAAACATATAACACAAACACATAGCATTACACATGACATTACCGAACTCTCTGGCAAAGATCACTGTAATAAATAAACTCCAAAACCAGCCTGGGTTAAGGAGTATTTTACACTAAGGATAGAATGGTGTATAAACCCTAATTCAAAATTCTATAAACGAAATTCTTAAATCAAATACAAATAGCACATACTTTGGAAAAAAAACAACATAAAATCTCGTTACCTTTCGGAACTAGGGGGTCCCTTTAATGATGATGAGTCTGAGACGGAACATACCAATAAAGGAGCCTAAGAAGACGATGAATTGGGATGCACCGACTGTAGAGACCAAAAGCGATGGATAGCAGCGACTACTAAAGTGAACACAGTGCAACTTTCCGAAGTGGTTGATTTCAACTGAGATTTTGTAGATTTTTTTGTCTTTGCAAGAATTTGTTCCAGCACCAGCACCTTCGCCACTTTCTCCTTCTTTACCACACGTCGACGAATTTAGACAAAGACAGAAAGAAGAATTAAATAAATTTTTACAGCAGCAGAAAGAGACAGAACTAGCATTTCACTTTGAACAGCAACAGCAAAATGAAGAGGCGAGAAGGAAACGACAGGAGGAAGAAAAAGCATTAGAAAAGAAACAAAGTCTAGGAGAGAAGAAGAACAGTAAAAGTCAAACGGTCACGGTACTCTTAGACATTTTGGCAGAGATAAGAAGTTTAAAACAAATGTATCAGACTTCTTTATTACGAACCAAAAGTAAAATACCTTCTCAAGCCAAACAGCCTTACCCTGTGACTACACCAGAGATACCATTCTAGTCATTTCTACTCAAACATTGACAGGAGCAAGTTTACAAGGCTTAAGGCAGTTCAAGTAAATTGCTTCTCGTGCCTGAGTTTGTTCTCAGGAAAAAAAAAAACAGGTACCCAAATGTCCTTTTCAGGGCCATCCATTTCTTTCGAAAAGAGTTATTATTCATTTTGCCAAAATTAACTAAAACTCATAATCCCTTGTATAACCCTAGTATGTATGTGTGAGTGCGTGAATGTTGATTCTTATTTTAAGAAATCAAAACCAGGAGACACTTACGTTTTTCAATCTGGTCTATTCTGGTACAAATATTTGCAATTCAATTCTCAACACAATACAACCTTCTTTTAAATTTCATATACGTTTCTGTGTATGTTTGTTTGTTATGGTTTTGCTCTCTCTCTCTCTCTCTCTCTCTCTCTCTCTCTCTCTCTCTCTCTCTCTCTCTCTCTCTCTCTCTCTCTCTCTCTCTCTCTCTCTCTCTCTCTCTCTGTTTTTTTTTTTAATTTCTTCACTTTCACAGTTTGTTCTATTCTTTTTTCTCCTTTTTTCTCTCCTTGGTTTCTTCTCTTTCGGAACGTCTCGGGGTTCTTCCTTTTCTTCTTCCTCCTCCTGCTCCTGTTGTTTCTTAGTGCACACTGAAGACCAATGTCCTCTCTCTTGACAATGATAGTAGCAGGTATCTCGACTGCTTTTTTTAACTGGTTTTTTCTTTTTGACGATTTGGACATTCTGTAGCCCAATGCCCTTTATTCTTACAGATATAGCTAGTATCTTGACTTTTATCTCGAAAGGATG